AAGTTTTATGTTCTTGTAGTTTAATGTAAATGTATTATGGTTTGGTGTTTTGATGTATATTTTATATGTGTCCCCTGGCGATTTAATGAACCAAAGGGGATTTGGTTGAAATCACTTTTGGTTCCTGTAAAAATAATTTGGGAAGTGAAATGAATCTTATGAGAAAAGCTTCTGAAATAAATAAATGCACATTTCAAGATCCCGTGTAGAAATTGAAAATAGGACTTCGTAAGGCCCTGAATAGACGCCCTTTCGTTTAGTGAGGCGCAAACTAGGAAAATTAGTCAGGACCCGTCTAATTTCGTCACGCTTGAAATATCAGGTGATGATGTGGAAAGATAGAGAGGTTCTAACTAGATTGCCTTGTCACTGCCTGAATAGAAAAGCATAATGTGGGGATTTAACTAAAGGGCCTCTTTAGCGCCTCATTAGTTTTTCTGAATACCAAAGCAAAAATTTACGATAGGCGTAATATTGCGCCAGTAATACTGAACAGGGCAGTCTACTTTTCGCCGCCAACTCGCTCCCGTATACCTGCTCGGCGTCGAAATTTCGCTCCCGGGCCCTTCCCCCACTCTACCTACTTTCCGGGCACCGTCAGTCAGACATACATGGTATGAACTACTTCTCCCCCCACAAAGATGCAGTCAAATTTTCTACTCTCCCCTCCCCTAGTATTCAGTTCTTTACATAAATTCGATTATTTTCAAATAAGAAAATTCTACACAGGATTTCTATTATATTATTTTTAATACAATTTTAGACAATCAATCATTCTTTTTAATAAGAATTACACTTTTGAATAATTTTACTTAAAGGGTTATACCTGTTTTAAGGCTTAAAAAAGTGTTTTTCAAAATTTTTTTATGAGTAAACGGTGCTAAGTTTCTTGTAGACCTCCGCGGCGAGCAGCAGAAGTGCTACATTTTTTTTGAATTCCTTAAAAAAATGTTATTATTGAATATAATTGAAATTAGGACAAGAATTTTTTTGACATTTATTAAAATAATTGAACTTTGGAGAAAAAGTTTGTTATTTATAAAGATAATTGCGATTTTTACGAGAATTCTCCTTCGAAATCTGAGAATAAAATGACAGGGGAAGGACGTCAATGAAATTTGACTGCATCTTTGTGGGGGGAGAAGTAGTTCATACCAAGTATGTCTGACTGACGGTGCCCAGAAAGTAGGTAGAGTGGGGGAAGGGCCCGGGAGCGAGATTTCGACGCCGAACAGGTATACGGGAGCGAGTTGGCGGCGAAAAGTAAATCGCCCATACTGAACAAGTCACTGAACAAACACAGATGTAAACAACACTGTTTCGACCAATCAACCTATCACTAACTTAACACTAACACTAACGCATAACTAACACTAACTCGCACGCTATAAATCTACTTTCTCATCGTCCTTATATACTAAACAGAACATTTCTTTAGCGCTTGTGAGAAAAAGTGCAATATTTCGAATTTTTAAAATCGTAAATATTTTTGCTCAAATAGTTTTTAAACTTTAAATAGTATTTTAATATGCGTTTAGAACTATTTTTCTGATTATTTCGTTGCTTATTATTTAGAAATTGGGATTTGTCAATGAAACTGAAAATTAATTAAAATACCTAATAGGGGCATAAATAGATACCAGATAGATTTCCCTGTTCAGACAAAAAGGGCATTCTAGTCAGAGCCTGATTGAAATATTTAATAAGGGCATAAATAGATCCAGCTAGATTTTCCTATTTGGAAAAAGAAGGCATTCTAGTCAGTGCCCTATTATCACCTATCTAGACATTATTAGTGTGGTTGGCCTCACTAAATCCTCATCAGTGCCCTTCTTTAAATAAGGCGAAGTCGGGAAATTTCCACACGGGATGCAATTTATGCAATATTTAGTGTAAATCAATGTTTATTTATGTAATTCTTATCATTCTCACCCTAAATGTTAATAATGCGATCAATAAGCATTGCTTTTCACTAAATATTGCATAAATTTTGCATTTTGGAATGTACACTTATTTATCAAAAGGAATTTATTTTTCATAAAATTAGGTTGATTTCCCAAGTTCTTTTTACAGAAACCAAAAAACGGTTGGAGTAAAAAGAAAAATATTGGGAAAAGAAATTTTACTCAAATAAAAGTTAATTTCAACAGTGAAATATGGCTTTCAAAATGAATATTTACCATTAATGATATATTTCACTGTAAATATTATTACGAAAAACTGATTTGTATTTTCTAAAATTGAATAAAACTTAAATTCAATATTAAATAGTCTTGTATATATGTATGTCTTTTTGCATTATTTCGATTAGAAAAAAAAAAATTTCAAAATTCCTAAAAAATTATTACGTTTTAATTTTTCAAAATAATTAATGATAAAAAATTACATGAGAAATGATATCATAAATGACATCGTTTATAGTCCCAAAATACAACATCATTTCCAATATTATTTACGATATCATTTTTGACATCATTTATGATATCATTCACGACATCATTTTTTATGTAATTTCCGATGTCATATCCAATGTTGGATTTTTAAACAGGGCGGTAAGTAAGAGTAACAAGGAATTATCAAATTCTAACCTTTTTTCAGTGTGAATAAATTTTTTGAACAAAATTATCCTTTTTTTCTTAAAACTTCATTTCCTTTATAAATTTAGCTTTGTTTTACTTTGAAAATTCATTTCTATTATCTACATTTACTTTAAAATAGTGTTATATTAAGAAAAATGCTTTAAAAGTCACCTCGTATACAAGCATCTATTCACTTCTCATTACGGAAAAGGCTCGTATGAGAGTTTTCTCATATTTCTCATACGAGCTACCGAGCTCGTATAGGCCAGTCGGTGAGTGCAAAAACTGCCCAAAAATACAAACAGCAAAGTCTCAACGGTTTCTGGTAGTTTGGGGGCTCCTTATAAGAGCCCCACAGTTTGCTCTCGATTTCCGGGTGCGAAAAACAGTGTAAACAATCGCCAAAGTTTGTAAAACATGGTTTTTCGATGCTCGTTGCTTCCGGTTAAGTTTTAGGGGAAAAATTTGTTATTGAAAGTTATAGAGCTTGGAAATACCTTTCAAATGATGAGTCATACGTTTAAAAAGGTTAATTAGTTTAGTTGCAAATGAATTTAAACCATTAAAAATAGCATTTCTTTAATTGTTTAATAACTTTGTTAATAATTATCGAATTTGTTCATAACTTACCAGGAATGTTCTCCTTGCGTAGCTGAATAAATCCCAAAAAAATTAACTAGATCGGAGAAATAGTTTATGCATGATTCCATTTGTTAACTAAAAACATGTAATTTTTCAACGGAATTTCCCCACTTTTGGTACATCGAATTTCGATTTTTTTTTGGAAAGTACACTTAAGAAGTCAAACTTTCATCCTATTTAAATGGCCAACTGATTTTTTTTATCTAAGTGCATAATAAAAAGGGTTAAAAAAGAGTGTGTTTTTTTGTCATAAACACATGGAATTACTCAGCCAATTTTCACTTTATCAATTAGCTATAAACGGCATATAATTCCATTTGTTTCAACAAAACTTTAAAAAAAAATCCGACCTAACTTGAAGGGGGGGGGGGAGTTAACTTTTTAAAAAAAAAAATTCCTGACAAGTTAATTATTAATAGTTTTTATTGAAACTCACACGACTTTTAGTTCAAAACATGTATTTTATGAAAAAAAATTGAACTTAACGTTTTGTGCTTTTATTTTCCATTTATATCAAATTAAAGTACGTGTATCTTTTTTCAACTTTCGGACGGCGGAGTGGGGGAACTCGGTGGCGCTTGATTCTCGCCCGCCACAAAACTGAATTCAGCCGTTCAAATTCGCAAAAATGGTCATAACTTCGTTAATTATTGACCGATTCTAATCTTTTTTTTTAATGCTATGTATTTTTTTATGCTGAATCCAAATATGAATTTATATATTTTTTAAATAAAATATTTTTTGTAGAAATAAAAATTCACATTTTTAATGATATATCGAAGACGGATTAACCTTTTTTAATTTTCGAAGGCTTATTTAGAAGCTGAAATTCTAACAAAGATTTCTGTGTTTTTAGAAAAATTTTATCTAAATTTTTCTAGATTTTTGAAAAAGTTGAAGTCAAGAGACAAAAATGAGAAAATTTGATAATTTTTTTTATTTCTTTCTCACTCTACAACTTAAAAAATAGTTAATGAAATGACTTCTAAGACGGCTTATTTTACGCAAAATTTAATCAGCTTTCTAATCGTATTTAAGTTTTCTTTGTACCTCCTTTTATTTCCGAGATATGATTGAAAAAGTGATGGCATGTTTTTTTATAGAGTCGCATGTAGTCGTCCTGATACTAGTGGACGGTAGTGTAGATTCTAAATGGAAATCAGTGAATATAATTACATAATCTGCAGAAATAGTTTTATTGTAAAAGGAATCTTTTAAATATAAAAAGGTTAGAAGTTTAGGATAAAAGTGGGTATTATCGCGGGTATGGGTATTATCAAAGTATTTTGTATTTTAATGAATATTTCAATTTAAATTATTAAATGATATAATTTAAAGGAATTTCCTTTTAATAGAAAAGAAATTCCTCTTAGACAAATATTAAAAGGAAAATCCGGTTTTAGTATAAAAGGAGTCCTTTTTATTTAAATAGACTATTTTGTAAGTGTATTTTTGCCAAAAATCTCAAACAAAATATTCCCTTTTTTTACAGTGTATACAAAAATATAAAAAACGTATTACATATTTTTTATAAAGAAAAAATAAGTTTACCAGAATTTAAAATGTCATCGGTAAATTTCTCATGAAATCGTTCATATAAAAGATAAAAAATAATTATGTATGCGTAATTGTAATTATATGTATACTATACTTAAGATTACAAATAATACTCAAAATTATACATAATTATATAGTAAATAACAATCATTCGACAACATAAATGCTTGTATTTTACTATAAAAAAACGTATCTTAATTTTTGTGCCAGTTGATTATTGGACACAAAGTTAATTGAAAGTCTTTAACAATGAATTTTTCTTTTGAAAATATTTATTGTCTCTTGTCAATTTTGCTATTCTGCTGTAAGTTTAGAATACACTTATATTTTTATGATTAAATGTTTATTATTATTCAAATTCAATATTTTTCACTCTTCGAGGAAGAAGCTTTATAGTCCTTCATATTATAAAACTTTTAAAAATGATTTAAACAAATTTTCCTTTATACTGGAAGAATACATAAATATTCTTCTTATTATTATATTATTAATTATTATTCTTTATATGAAGACGAGTCTAACATATTATTCTTTGCATGAAGACGAATAGATTGGTCTATATATGGGTGATTCTCCACAAAGTGGTAACTTTTGAATATGTGAAATTTTTTTTTTAATTAAGTTTTTTGAAAATTTTATGTAGATATTTTTAATAAAGCTTGAGAATGATTGTTTTATAGATATTTGAGCTTAACTCTTTCTTTAGTTTTATAGACAAACAATTTAAAAATTTGTAATTTAAAGGTTAAATAATTTATTGGAAAAAGTTAGTTTTCGACTGTTAATAATTATAAATAGTGTAAATAAACAAATAAAATGTACTCTAAACAATTTTATTAAATTAAAAATAAGTATAACATTCAAATCTAAAATTTTTATTTTTACTTAGATATAGAAAAAATAATTTTTAAATAAACAAACACTTTTATACAAAATATCGAATAATATTCGAAACTCATGCCAAAATTCATAATTAAATAAACATGTTTTAATAGAAAAAAATTCTTAATATCCTTTTTTTTAATTTAAACTACTTTAATTATTAAATAAATAATATTTTTACTCATAGGGTAAATGTGCCAATTACTGTCACTTCTAATCCAGCATCGATTTTAAAGATATTAAACATTTATATTAAGTAAAATAATAATATAAAACTAGTATTTCTAGCAATATTGGGATCTAATAAAAGTAAATGTAGGATTCCAACTCTAAAAGAAACATATTTAACTTAGAAAAACACACATTTTTAAAAAATTGTGAATGCTGGTGTTACTGTCACTTTGTGTTAGTTACTGTCAATCAATGCCCCAATTACTGCAAATGACGTAATTACTATAAATATTTTGTCTGAAAACTGCTATTCTATTACAATTAAATTAAATTATTATAAATAAAAAGAACTTAGCAGTTTTAACACATTTTATTAAAAAACTGTTATTAATTAAATTAAATTATTATATATTATAACAAGAAAGAAAGGGTAAGAAATAAGAACACATTTTTTAGAAAACTCTCAAAGATTTTTTGTTTCTTTTTTTTATTTATCAACTTTTTTTTAAAAGAAATTCTTCTTTTTTCCAAATCTTTTATTTTTGTTCTTTTTCATTAATTTCTCAGATTCTCTTTGAAATTTTAATTTTTTCGATTTGCCTGACATAACCTCTTCTAGAGCTAATTTTACACTATCTTTAGAATATTGCATTCTACTTCTCTTTGGTTTTTTTTCTCCACCTTCTTTGGAACATTTTTTTTACTTCGGTTACTCATCGCACTTATTTAACTATTGTTTAAAACCTATAAGCTAAAACTAAACTAAGCTATAAGCAAAAATTTAATCTCACGTGAGACCCATAGCGTTGACGTTTATGTTAAGTTTGCTTGGTTATGTCACACATTTTTCGCGACTGACAGTAATTGGGGAAAAGAGAAAAATCATGTCCCAAATATTGTTTCAATAAAAAAAGGTTAAAATACTTAATTTTTTATGTTTTATAATAGATATTTTGAAAAATTATTTATTTTTAAATCGAAGAATACTATTGCAATAAATATTTTTTCTTGAAAGACAAAAATATATATACTTTTCTACAACGCGTACATATGGCATGTCCACAAATCTCTGAAGTAAAATTAGCCATTTTTGTCACTTGCATATTTGAAATTAATATAAAAATTATAAAAATATTTTTTATATGGTTATTATCATTGTAATTATTTAAATAACATTATAAATAAAATTAATTCTTTCATTACAAAAATTATATTCATACTAAATATTTTAAATCATCATTTTCATTCAAACTGACAGTAATTGGGGCATTTGCAGTAATTAGCACACTTACCCTACCTGTTATTAAAATTACATGTTTTTATACAGGTTAATCGAGGTTAATAATATTCATTCAAAAAAACAAAACACTTCCATTACGCAAAACAAAATTAGGAACTGAAGTTTACAAATCAAAGAAAAAAATTCATTAAAACCGTAAAAATTCAGAAAAATAAACAATTTTTGCAGATTATTAAAGAGATTTGCTTACTCTAAATCACTATTATTTTTATTTTTTTATACATTTAGAATTCGGTAATTTTGGCGGAACTGGAGTTTACATACCATACAAATACGCTATAAAATAATAGTAACTTTTGTAGTTTTAAGTCTAAAAATTGTAAACTCTAGTTCCAAATAAAAAAAGAGTGGGGAAAATATTAAAAAAATATTTTTACACAGATTTGTTAATGGAAATTAGAAAACGACACACAAAAACTTAGTATTTGAGATGAACTTTCGAATAGAATAAATAAAAAAACGTTTAAAATAAAGTTTTTCCAAAATAAAACATATTAAACTTCATGATTCATGTGTGGAGAAACGACAAATGTGCATTTTTTGAACATTTGCAATTAAATTACAACTTTTGTTTTAAAATAAAATTTTTTTTCGATTATGATATTACTAAAAAACATATTGAAGATTAATTATGCAAAAGGTTGAAGTAGATTTGATAACAATTTTTCAAGTTATTAAATAGGTAACAGTGGGGAAGCAAAAGTGACCACTGAATGAAGAATCACCCATATAAAGTATTATTAAAAATCTATTTTTTGTCAACCGCGCGCGACTAAACACAAATAACCTTGAAACTTAGCATTACGAATATTGTATCAAGATTGATTCAAGCTTGAATTAAGATTAGATGTTCAAGCTTCGCTCACGAAGTTTGACCGAGTCTTGAATCGGGCATGGGACGAACATTGGTGTCCCATGCTGAACCAATATTGAGTGACAGTGATATGCAGAATATACGGCACTGGCATTGACCACAAAAAGACAATAATAATCAAAAGGTGTATTCGCGCTCATCAGCCAGGGATTGTTCCGGCACGTGAGATAATCTGAGCGGGAGGTTTGAATTCGAGGTATAATGATGTGCACCGTCGATTATTGTCCGGTACACACCATTAGAACTCGACTGTCGATAAACCGGTTGTACTCAGGAGAGGTTTTCTACAGTTTCCCTCTCCACTGGCGAGAAAACCCATTAGACGGGTGGTCCAGGCAAATGCGAGTACTTCTAATTTTCAAGTCGCTCTGTAGGCGCAAAATTTAGTATAAGTTGTAGTATGTAAGATTTACACGGGGACACTTATAAACGCTAGTATTAAGGCAAAAAGACGAGTGTATAAATAAATAAATATTATTATTATACATAGTAAATTGTGAAGAGATGGTTGAGTCAACTCCGAAATGTCAAACATAGTGTTTGAATGGACACACCTTTCGATTATTATTGTCCTTTTGTGATCGTCTTATTTTTCAATTATATTATAATATGATAATTATTGACAATGATGTAATTATTCAATACTTTTTGTTAAATAAAATATTCTAGTTTACTGTGAAACAGTATTGGCAGAAAATAGAATTATAGGAGGACATAGAGTTTCAATCGAAAAATTTCCTTATATGGTAAGATTATGTTTTTGTTAACAAAAGAAAAAAAATTCAAGTTAAGTTATTAAACAATGAAAAAATAAATACATTTACAGCTTCGTCTTAATGTTGGTATGAAAGATGGTAGGCAAAGTGTTTGTGGTGCTTCAATTATTGGGACAGACTGGGGACTTACAGCAGCACATTGCGTGGAAGAGTAAGAATTTTTATAATTTAAATATAATTAAATGTAATTAATTGTTAATTTTTAACAATTTTTAAAGTAAAATATAAAAGTTATGAAAAATTTTAAACTCTATGTTTGTCAGGAATGAGTAATAAGGAAAATAATAATTATTTAAATAGTAATAATAATAATAAGAAATATGAATTAAAATAAAATTACAAAAAAAGTATTTGAATTGAATATTTTTATTACTTATTAATTTACAAATTATTATTTTATTGATTTAAAGTTAATTCAGTCAAAAAAATTTCTTGCAGAAAAACAACTAATACAAACAAAGTAGATGTAATTGCTGGTACTGATAATATAAAAAAGTTATCAAGTACTGCTTCAAAACATAAAGTAACAAGTATTATTCGACATGAGAAGTATAATAAAGGAAAAGTAAATACATTACAATTTGACATCGCTGTCATTAAAGTAAATCCACCATTTACTTATAAAAACGTGGTTCAACCAGTTAAATTACCAGAAAAGGGACAAACATTAGACATAAATTTCGCCACAGTTTCAGGATGGGGACGCACTAATGTAAGTATTAGTTGTAGAGAATTTATTAACTACGAAATTTCAAAGCAAATTTAATTAAATTTAATTAAATATTACGTGCTGATAAGGATATTGAAACAAATTTTTTCTTTTTATAAACTTATTATACATTTAAAATATGTAAACATTAATTATAACTATTCGTTATTGTATACAATTTTTATAAAAAATATTGTTTCTTGTCAATTTTGCTATCCTGGCTGTAAGTTTAGAGTATACTTATTTTTTTTAAGATTAAATATGATTTATTATTCAATTTCAGTTTAACAAACCAGGTTCTGATGTATTGCTTGCCGTTAAGGTACCAAAAGTAGATTATGGTACGTGCAAAAAAAAATATGGAAAATATCTAAATTCAGGAGAAATTTGTTATGGATTCAAGAATGGCACAGTTTTTTACGATAAGTGCAATGTATGTAAAACCTATCATATTCAATATATGTATATATATACATATATATAAATTAATATTATATAAATATAACATATAAATATAACATATAAATATATAACAAATGAATTAGAAATAAAAAGCAATTAATAATTTGAAGGGCGATTCTGGTGGTCCACTTGTTAATAAGGACGGAATAGAACTTGGATTAGTTTCATTTGGTGTCAAGTGTGGATCAACAGGAACTCAAGGAGTTTACACTGACGTTCAATATTATCGTGGTTGGATTAAAGAAAAAACAGGAATATAATTCGAAAATTGTGTTCCAATTTTTTCTATAAAAAGACAGTGAATACGGAAAAAATTAATTTAAAAATTTTTGTTACTACCTAATTTTATAGGTAACAATTACGAAATAATTTATGTAATACACATAATATTAAATATATATATGTGACTTTAATTATAAGTATACTGTACTTATGTCATTACAAATAATAAATAAAACTGCACATACACTAAAAAAATATATTGAATTACGGAAATTTTACTTTGTTGAAGTAAATCTCAGGATTGAATGGGGACGAGGCAAACAAACCATCAGATCGTAGAATAAAATTATGCAAATTTTTTCTTAATAGAGTTTTTTCTTAAAGTTAATCGTTTAGCAAAAAGCTTGATTTTTTCATTTATAAAATTTCAATCAATTTCAATTCTGCGTCCTCGTCAAAGAACCTTTGTTATCCTTCAAAATATAAAATTTTTTAAAATTGTTTTAAACAAATTTTCTTTTATATAGATATATGTTATAATTATTTAAATTTAGGGAGTGCATGAGACTGTACTAAGCATTATTAGGTATATTCACCTTTTGAAAAGTAGGATTTCTCTTAATTAATTAATTTCATTAATAAAATCAGCGACCAAAGCAACTGCAAAAAAACACTACCTGATATTTAAGTTTAAAAAAAATTTTTAAAAAATGTATCGCTTTTACCTGATGAAGATAATGCTGATTTTTTATTCTTTTCTTAAATCTATCACCGAGAAATTTGACTGCTAAAAACTTGATCGAATGCAACACATGCTAAAGACCTGTTCATATATAGTATCAATAGTAAAATAACACAGCCCCACAAAAAAAAAAGTGTCGTGCGTGGCAGACCAGACTAGTCATTTCCTATGTATTTTGACGCGCTGAACACGAATCCGAAGTCCGTTTTGCTCCATCACGTCAGGATTTTTTTCTAACCTCAAAAAATCTGTCGGATTTTGAGAGGTAGGCTATTTTTTCTTAAATTAATGGATTTACTTCAAACTTGGTAACTAGGGGTTTTTTGGGTCGCTGATGACAAATTTGAAGTTAGATTTTCAAAATTCAAAATGGCGGCTCCAATATGGCGGACGAATTTTTTAAAAGTTAATGGATTTACTTCAAACTTGGTAACTAGGGGTTATTAGGGTCGCTGATGACGAATTTGAAGTTAGATTTTCAAAATTCAAAATGGCGGATCCAATATGGCGGACGAATTTTTTAAAAGTTAATGGATTTACTTCAAACTTGGTAACTAGGGGTTTTTTGGGTCGCTGATTACGAATCTGAAGTTAGATTTTCAAAACTCGAAATGGAAATTCTTATATACATAAGTAAGGTATTCACGTCCTTTTATGGTAGCGCACTCTTTTGTCCTCAAAGGATCTGTGTAATAGTTTTCGTTTCAAATTGGTGCCTCCAGGTACAATATCCCTTTTCAGCATCCAACAGTAGTCGGACATCATATTTACATCCCATCTTCCTTGATAACGACGCTCAAATTCTTTAAGATCTTGATGCAATCGTTCTCCTTGTTCTTCACTGTAATCTCCCAAATTTTCAGGGAATCGATCCCGATGCGAGTCTAAGTAATGCATCTCTATGCTCATTAAGCATCCTAACTTACCAAAATTTTTAATCATATCACTAACTATTTGCTCCCAATTTTCACTTTTGTGATTACCCAGAAAATTTTCGAAAACTGCTTTGAAACTAAGCCATGCGGCTTTCTCCTTTTTATTTATCTTGGTGATAAATTGCTCATCTTTTAACAATTTGCGAATTTGTAATCCGTCGAAAACCCCTTCTTTTAGTTTCGCATCAGATTTTTCTGGAAACTTTTGTTCCAGGTATTTAAAACAGTTTCCTTCTTTATCTAAGGCTTTGACAAATTGTTTCATTCTTCCTAGTTTCGTGTGTAAGGATGGAATTATCACCTTTGAAGGGTCGATTAGGGGATTTTCTATTATATTTTTTGAACCTGGTTCGAAAGAATTTCTTTTTGGCCATTGTTTTTTAATGTAGTGATTTGCTCGATCTCTACTGTCCCACAAACACAGGAAACATAGTGTTTTTGTAAAACCTGATTGTTGTCCAAGTAGTATGCTTAAAATCTTAAAATCTCCACAAATTTGCCAGTTGTGTTCTCGGTATCTAATTTTATCCAAAACTAGTTTCATATATTCATAGTTTTCTTTCATTTCCGTTGAATGCGCTATTGGAATTGGAGCATAAATATTAGTATTATGGATTGCATGAAATTTCTGGTTTTTTTACAGTGGGGACATTAGCATACAATATGTTCTTTTTATTTTTGTTATTATATCCTTGCACAATGGTGTTGCAAAAATAACAATCTTTTTGATTTAATGGTTTTTCCCACAAAGTTAGCTTTATAAACTTTAGTTTATCCTCTTTTTTATGATTCCAACGAGTTAACATTGTGCAACAGGAACTGCAAATTTTGTGTGGAACAAAATTTTTATCCTGATTGGTTATCTCAAGATCAAAATAATCTTTGTAGATCTGTTTGATATTTTCATTTATTGATTTACGATTTTTGGGGACATCGAATTGTCCACATATGTAACAAAATGCATCTGCATTGCTGTCGCATAAGTGTTCCGACGTTGTTACTGCAAAATTAAGTTTTGAAGCCTTTGGAGTTTTATTATTGTTTTGATTTTGAGAAGCCATGATTTATGTAAAAACCTGCACGTTAGGGATCCTGGCCCGATCGCAGGTGAGTCCGCCGTCCTAGGGGTGATAACCCTCATACCTCCCCAGGCCTAAGTATGAGAGCTTTCCGACTTTGACGAGGACAAAGTCAACTCGTCGTCGGACACACTACGGCATCATCCTCACACCCTAACGTCCCCCTGCAGGGCAGCGCGCCTACGCTGGCTTCGTTACTTCGATAAACAGGAAGCGAATCATTCCTGCAAAATTAAGTTTTGAAGCCTTTGGAGTTTTATTATTGTTTTGATTTTGAGAAGCCATGATTTATGTAAAAACCTGCACGTTAGGGATCCTGGCCCGATCGCAGGTGAGTCCGCCGTCCTAGGGGTGATAACCCTCATACCTCCCCAGGCCTAAGTATGAGAGCTTTCCGACTTTGACGAGGACAAAGTCAACTCGTCGTCGGACACACTACGGCATCATCCTCACACCCTAACGTCCCCCTGCAGGGCAGCGCGCCTACGCTGGCTTCGTTACTTCGATAAACAGGAAGCGAATCATTCTACACATCCCCTTTCGGGGCAGTTGTCATCGCCTAATACATTTATCGAAGCAGCAGGATTAGTATTGTGCTGAAACACAAAAAAAGTGCAAAGCGTACAAGGTAAACAATGTATTTTTAAGGAATAAGATAGTGAAGGATAGAGGATATTAAAGTTCCTTTTTATCTCGTTGCTTAAAAATTTATTATTTAACTTTTACATCTTATTGTCACATTATTACCACAATGAAAAAAGTTTTGTGCATTTGCCGAATTGATCTCTATGATGCAATGAGACCCAACTGTCAGTTCTTGAGAGTAGTTCATTACAAAACAAAAAATTACAGTTCCCGCTACACAACACTCTACCAAAAAATCTTTCGGAGCAGCCACACGGAAAAAATTTCTGTGCACTGTTTATCTCTATATGTGCACCCAAGGTCCTTAATTACAGTACAAATCTTACACTTTGAAAAGGGATCATATACGGCCCTTTTTAGAGACAGCAAACGCACTTCCATCGGACAACCTCTGCATCAACTGCACTGAAAGTGAGACAAGCGGTGCACGGACATTTTTTCCGTGCAGGGGGTTCAAAATGTGAAAGTCTGACTATAGATTCGTAATCAGTGACCCAAAAAACCCCTAGATACCAACTTCGAAGTAAATCCATCAATAGTTAAAAAATTCGTCCCCCATATTGGAGCCAACATTTAAAATTTTGAAAATCTAACTTCAAATTCGTAATCAGCGACCCAAAAAACCCTTAGATACCAAGTTTGAAGCAAATCTATCAATTTTTAAAAAATTCATCCGCCATATTGGATCCGCCATTTTGAATTTTGAAAATCTAACTGGGTCAAAATAAGTGAAACCGGCCACTTGAAAAATTTTTGTCCCCGAATTTAAAGTTATCTATGGTTTTTGATAGATATATGAGTAAACTTTTACCCGCTAAAATATTTTTCAAAAATTTTATTTATTTTGAAAGTTATTAGGTGTTAAACTTTTAGGTTAGTTTTTATTCTTTTCATTATTACTCCGAAACGAATGAAGATAATTTCAATTTTTTTTGGAAATTAAAGCTAAAAGTCTGTAGTTTAAAGTGCAACTGAAAAAATTGCTGTATAATAAAAATTTCTAATTGTTATTAACAATTATTTTAAACAATTGCGATTTAAAGTATGTTCTCAATGTCGGAAAAAAATCAAACTATACTCATGTGATGTGCAAAACTCTAACGAGTAAATTAAAAAAAAAAAGTGAGTAACCTCTAAAATTACAGAAGTTATGCATATTTTTCTGACGACGCGCGGGAATTAACTGATTCGCAAACTCTCGAGCGCCCGCTCCCGCCGCACTGCTCACACTTGTGTTTTCAAACAATTTATGTTTACAGAGAAGGAAAATTAATTAAAATATTATTTTCTTACTGAATAATTTATTAATATTTTTACTTTTGGAGTAATTATATACATAAAAACCATTTTGTATGTACTCATAAACTGCTTTGCAGTTTTTATGCTTTGATAAAAAACTTTTTTCGTGGGTCTGATATTCTTGAATCGTACAAAAATCGAAATTGATATTGTTTGTGTAGAATTTTATCAAAAAATTTTTTAAATAATTGGATTTCTAAATAAAATAATTAAATCATTTGTCACTTCTACAAAATTCAATTTTTATTAGTATTTTAACTAAAATTTCTTCTATAAATCCGCTATTTTTAATAATTTATTATTTCTTAATAATAAATAATAATTAAATTTTTGCCTGGAATTGTAGATATTAAAATTATTTTTTAATATAATTGAATTCTTTTAGAAAATTTTATTAAAATAGTAGATTTTGAAAATCATTGAATTGAGGGAAACTTCTGAAAATAACTTATATTCGGAGCAGAATTTTATTATTTATAAAGTTTATTGAATTGTTG